ACAGTTTAAAAATTTATTAAATTGAATAAAATTAACTAATGAACTGGAAAAAAAAATAAAATAACAATATGCTACAGTATTGCAATAAGAAAAAAAATGACACTCTGTGATAAGATTATTCAAATTTAATTTGAAATTAAATATTGATAGTTTTTTGTTGGATTATTTTGAGATTTTTTTTTTTTTTTTAAATTTGACAATGAAAATTAAAAATTATATGATTAATTTCATTCAATTACTCTATTCAAACATTCACTTTAATGCATATCTTTTCATTAATTACTCGGAAAGAATGAATTTCCATTAATCAATCGATAATTTTAAATTAAAGAAAAAAAAAATTGCTTGTCAAATAAACTTACTTTACGCATATTTTCCACAACATTACTAGTAATTACATTGGAACTAGTACCACTTATTGTTGTTGCATGACTGATCGGTGAACGATGTAATCTGGTACGTGGTGTTCTCGTTGAATTATTTGTAGCTAATTTTGATTCTGAAAAATCAAAACTGAAAATTTAAATTTTAAATGAAACTAAACATTGATATTTTAAAATTTTAAATTTATTGTTTTCAGACAATAACCATCATAAATGCTATAGTGAAATTTAAAAAGTTTAAAAAATGCAGATTTTTTTTTTTTTACAAGCGATTTTTCCAAAATTTTTAATGCAAATATATGCATTAAGTGTAAAACTAATTTATCAGTGATAACATACTATCATTTGAACGTGAATTAGCTGGACGAGTAGAAACAGAATGACGTTTATCAGTGATAGTTCGATTAGATAATTGTTGATTTGTTGTTGATGAACGTGAGGTTGATGCAGTAGGTCTGCTTGAGGATAAGCTATGTTCAACTTTAGCTGATGAAGTCTAAAATTTAAAATTAACAATTTAAAAGGTAAAAAAAGCTGAAAAAAAAAGAAAATTTGAGAAATCATTGAAAAATCCTTATTAACATATTAATATTTAATTATTCAATTTTTTGTCATTAAGTTGAAGTTTAATGAAAATTATTAGACATATTTTTGCTTGTATTACTAAATATATTTGCAAAACAGTATAAACTTAATATTTGAAAATTTTGATTTAAAAGAAAAAAAAAATCCTTAAATTTCATCTAAATTTATAGAAAGAAGAAGAAGAAGGAAAAAAAAAAGTACTGCAATGGAAGATGATACGACATCTGACGGTGTGATAAAACATGTTGTTGTCTCGGAAGCATTTACATTTCCGGTTGATGATAAAATGGATGCAACCGTTGAGACGGAATCTGTGATTAAAAAGCTACTGCCACCTGTAATGGAATATTTTCAGTCAAAATTTATATTACCTTATTGAGATTTTAGTGCTATTCTGGAAAAAAAAAATTATTAATTAAACATACTAATTGCAATTTACATATAATTATTATTAGTAAAAAAAAATTAAAGTTAATAAGCGAATATTACAGAGCTAAATCGTTATATTTTTATATAAGTTTTTATATAAGTTAATTAATCTTCATTTTTTGGCAGAAAAAAAAAACGGAACTATCTAGAAAATAGATATCAGTATTATATTAAGATCAATTATAAACAATTTTTCCCATGTACAATGAATTAATCCTAATATAATATATAATTATATTAGTATTATATTGAGATCAAATATATATAATTATATAATTAAATTATAAATAAACAGAACATAATCATAATATTTTTCAGCAAAAAAAGTAACGAATTATCTCCAAAAAATGAAATCACTGCTGTAATAATATTATTATGTTAAAAAGTCTAAAATCAATATTGTGTTAACATTAATTATAAACATAATGAATTCGAATAAAATATCAATAATATATTAAGATTAATTATAAACAAACCTGATGAATTTGAATCTTCGACAACTGGTGACAAAGATTTTTGATTTTTTGTTGATGTTTTAATAGAATGATTGGCAGTTGTTAAATCATCATCTGCACTAATGGTATCAATTTTTTCTATTTCTATCAAATCAGAATTGATAATTGTTGATTGTGAATCATCGATCATTGTTGTTATATGTTGATCCAAAATATTGTGAAAGTTATTACTATTACTACCACTACTACCACTAGTAGTAGTGGTAATACTTATATTACTAGCATTAGTATTTCGTTGAGAATTTGCTGTGGAACATTGAGTGCAATGTTGATTATTTAATTTCTCTTCCTTTTCTTCAAATGAATTATTATTCTTAATATCAGGTATCATTCCATTATTTTGTCCTTTACTGTCATCTGTCTTAATTGTTTCTGAAAAACAAAAAAAAAAAAACTTAAATTAATAGATTAAATATGCTATATAAAAATCAAAAAAATTAGAAACAGAAAAAGAAAAAGAAAGAAGAAAACTCACCTTGGATTACGGTAGTAGTAGGAAAATCACTGCTGGTTACGGTAGCTGTCATCGGTGTAACGATAGCCTGAGGTCTTTGAGCAGTGGACGATACGGTAGATGGATATGAATTGATAGATGAAGTAGTTGTGATTGAATTATTGGAATATAATTCATGATTGATTGTGATATGTTGTTGCTGATAAGCTGATAAGCTGCCTGATGCAAATGAATTTGTTGAAGTTTTATTAGCAGCTATCTAAAAAAAAAAAGGCTCAATTTTAGTTTTTATTTAATAAATTTAAAATTAAAAACTTAAATAAAAAAATGAACATGCATATGAAAGGAAAATTACAAAGAATTAGAAAGAAAAAAAGAGAGAAAAAGGAAGAACAGATAATAATAATAAAAATATTCGTAATATCAGGTATCATAAATATAATATTAAATGTAAAATATATAATTGAAAATAGAAAATTACTCCTTTAAAAAATCATTTTTTTTCTCGCTTTTTTTTATTTCTAAATTAAATTTGAATTAAAGATTCAAAAATTTTCCTTTCAAATATATGTATTATATTTAGCAATGCTAAACATAAACATTTTACAGCGGAAAGCTTGAAATGATGAATGTCGTATGTATTACTATTTCATAAATTAATAAAAAAGTTATATTCCAATCCTCCAATAATTAATATAGAAAAAATAAAAATAAAAACTACTGCACTTTGTTATTTACTAAAAGGGCAAAGAAAAATAAAATAAAACTGAGAAGACATAATAATTAACTCATGCATTCTGTACTTAAAATAATCATGATGAATAATTCTGCATCGTTTATAATTATTTAAACAGAATCAAAATTAATTAATTTTCAAGAATTGACATGACAGATTAGAAAAATGAAGTAATAAATAAATAGTTTTGATAACATGCTTTAAGAAGATCTATTGTAAAACTTGCAAATGTGAAAAACTAGAATTTTCATTGAATTTAGACAATTTTTGTAAAAAATTTATTTCAGTCAAAAAAAAATTTTTTTTAATAAAAACAAGAAAAAAAAATCAAAAATTTCTAATAAATTTAAAATGATATTAGTAAATAAATATTCATTCCTTTTATCATACATGCCATAATAATACTACAAAATTTTTCCTTACTATTAATCAAATATGATAAGCTATTATTGTTATAATTTGCTATTAGAAAAGATTGCAAAAATGTTTAAAAATTAATTTAAATTTGAAAAAGAGAAAAAAGTAAAGAGAAGGTTAAAAAAGAAAAGAGAAATTAATAGGAAAATGCAATAGTTGATTGATAGAAGCCACACATTTGCTCAATTATTTATTATTTTTTCTTTCTTTTTTTTTGTTTTTTGTTTTTTGTTTTTTTTTCTTAAACTTACCTGTTTACAGGTCCAATAAATAGATAGAAAACAATAATAACAAATACTCAGATCAGATAAGATACTATTTTTTTGATTCACTTGTACATTTATGCCATTCCTAAAAATATATATTAATCTTGTTTCATTGATTAAATCCGGATTGAAAAGAGAAAAGAAATTTCTACTATTATTATGAGTTAAATCCGGTTGACAATATTTCTAACCTATCAGTCATTTCTTTTTTTCTTTCCTGTTTTGTATTGTTTGAATTGATTAAAAAATTGATTGCTACTACGATTAACGCTTTTTCGTTTTCGGACTAATTCCGGAAGAAAAAATTCCTACTGGATACAATCATTCCGTTTTTTTATTTTGATTAAATCCGAATGCAAATACTTCCATTATCATTATTAACTTTCACATTTTTTTTCCTTTTTCTGGATTAGAAGTAATATTTATTTATATAATTATCAGTTACAGCTATTTTTTTTTATCAATTTAATCAAAAATCTTGCAAATATGTAAAATGTCTAAAAATTTAATTATGAAATATATCTTTAACTTTCTTCAAAGTCTCATTTGATAGATAATATTTTCAAGATCATCCAGGGATAAGCACTAGTAGCAGTATTATTACTATCAGTGATAGTAAGATCAATATTTTGATGATATGATAAGGGATATGCAAATGAGCGAAATAGAAAATTATGCGAATAGAAAGAAAAAATAATGAAGAAGTTAAATAGTTTGAAAAAATATCGTTTAGCAATATTTTCACAATTTCTCGGTGAAAGAAAAAAGAAAAAAAGAAGAGAAAAATCAGTCCACTAAAATTTAAAAAAATAATTTTTTATTTACAATCTACGATTACAAAATGAAAAAAAAAAATGCAAAATTTACAAGTTAGAAATAAAAAAAAAAAAATCACAAAAATAATCTGAAAAAAAATTTTTTTTTTTTAATACTAAACAAACGTTAACTGAGCATTTGTTTCTCAAAATATTTTTATGATAACGAGTTAAAATAATTTTATTTAATCTAATCATATCATATCAGTAATATGAAATTAAAAAAAAATTTTAAAAAAGCAAAAATACTATAAATATCTCTTAATTCTTATCATCTTAATTAGATTTCTTAAATATTTCACAAAAATTGAAAGTAACTGATAAAAGGGAAAAGCAAAAAAAAAAAAAAAAGGAAAGATTAAGCAAAATAAACGATAGTTTAAAGATTTAAATAAAATAACTAAAAATAAACCTTTTGAGCATATGCATGCATCACTTCTTTTAATAGGTCACCATTAGTGTTCACAGTTGAATTGTCCTTTGACCCTACAGAATTCATAGCAACAATGGTTTCCCAATTAGATGATACTAATTGTTGTTGCTGTTGTTGTTGTTGTTGTTGTTGTTGTTGTTGTTGTTGTTGATAATGGTGATAATGATGATTTAAGTGATTAGTCTCATCAATATTGAATAAACAGCCAACTTGTGGTTGAAACTAAAAAGAAAAAAAAGAGAGGAAAAAGAAAAAAAAACAGGAAAATAAAAATTTAAATAAAATTAATGATAGAATAGTTAGTGTAAAAGATATGATATCAATATTTTGTGATACGTAACGAAATAGCAAATTATATTTGATAATATATTTTAAGTCTATTTAAATTTTAAAACTATTTAAATATTTCATTTCTTTTATACAAATACTATCGATAATTATCACTATCTATGATAAATTTTCGCTCACATTTACATTCAACAAAATATATTACAAATATATACGTGTTACACGTAAAAGACACGTAGAAGAGCACGCAATACTTCAAATAAGAAATGATAATTATGCGTAAAAAGCAAAATTTAAAATATTTGTTTTTTTAAATGTTTGTTTTGTGAAAAAAAAATTGGAATTTAAAAAAGGCAGAAATTATAAGCAAGAATTAATAAATGAATAAATAAAATTAGAAGCAAAAGAATTCTGATCAAAAAAATGGATTCAATAAAATTTCAAAAGTTTTTAGAATTCGAATTTTTTACAAGAGATAAATTTTTGAAAAGAAACTTTTAACATTCATTACAATTGCAATGAAAACTTTTCGCAAATATAAATCTTACGTTATCATTTATTTTGGAACTTATTTATGTTACTGCAAAAAATTTTAATTTAATATTTATTAATTAAAAAATTGATATTGAAAGTAACCTCACGAGAATAACGATTTTCATCAACGGTTGACGCGTAACCGGAATCACTACCACCTACGGTATTAAAACGTGTCGTACGTGATCGTCTTTCAAAACGCAATTCATCACCAATATTTTCTATGCTGTAATAATGCATAGCAAATTTATTTGACTAAATTTATAAATCTATCAATACAATCATCGATGCATAATGAAATACCTGAAATACCTAAGTACCACAAACTAATTTCTATATTAATGATATAAATTACTTTTTTTTTTGTAGATATTATACTTGATTACGTATTTTATTTACAAATTAAGTATATTGATCTGTAAATAAAATACGTAATCAAGTATATATTGTTTATATATTCTCAATTATCATAATAAGATTGGAATAAAATTGAGATAACAATGCTTTAAAATTGAAATAAAATTTCAATTTTTTAAAATTACTTTTTTAGAATGAAAAAAAAAAAAATTTTACTGTTGTCCTTTTCTTAATGTTGCATTTATCGTTGTTGGTCGTTTAAATGAATGATTATAACTTTTCATTGTATTATCAATTGATCGTTCACCGTGTGATCGCAACCATTTGAAAGCATGTTCACGTCCCTGAACAAATAACAATAATATAAATTAATTAGTTTAATAAAAATTTTTGAAATAAATTAAAATTAATTCAAATTCAAAATTTAATATATAAAAAAGAATGTGCAGAATAATGATATTTTATAAGAAAAATTAAGAGAAAATATTGCATCAATAAACATTTGTAATTTTTTTTTCTTCATTTATACTTTCTTTTATTGATTTCCGTAACTTTTTTTTTATGATTGTAATTTTATTTGCTTTAAACGATTATAAATTCAATTTAATTTTATTTAATTGAAACAGTAATTAATATTACTACTAATAATCACGATATCACTACATTATTATCACTAAAAATTCAATTAACATTATCCTATTTGTATTCATGATTAGCAAATATGCATGCATTTGATTCGTCACTTTCAATAATTTAATTAAAATTCTAAAAGATTTAAAAAGATTTAAAAAGATTTAATTAGAATTCTATTTCAGTAATATTTCCGGATATATATGGATTTCAACGTTTTGATGATATGTTTAATAAATAAATTTCTTTCCGGATATAGATGGATCCAACGTTTTGATGATATGTTTAATAAAAAGTTAATAATTAAATCAAATTTTAAAATAATTCATTTCTTTTAATGCTACAAACTAAATTCTTACTTTCTCACAAATTATTACTTTAATAAAAAGTTACCTTTGAACAAAGTTTAGCAGGTGGTGCTATAAGCGGATTAAAATTGATACGAAAATCGACCAATGTACACATATACCGTAAATCAAATGGTAATTCACCAAGTTTATTTTGCGATATATCTAATACTCGTAATTGTAACCGTGAAATTTCTGAAATTTTTAAAAAAAGTAAAAAAAAAAAAAAAACTAGTAATACTTATTAGAAAAAAAGCAATTATTAGTACATCGAATATTTTGCTAATACTTTTGTTTTTTTTTTTTTCAAATATTTAACTTTGAGTAGGACAAATTATAATTTTTGAAATTATTTCATTCATACATTTATTTTACTTTAATAAAATGTATTAATATTTCTTAAATGGAATAATTTTCATTAATTGATTTAATTATTTTATTTTTGTTATTATTATTAAAAAAAGATGACATTTTTTCAATTGAAATTTGATAAATAATTTTAGCAAAAAAAAAAATAAAAAAAAAAAAAACTTTTTTGACAAATTTTCCTTCTCATTTTAATGTTTTTGTTTCTAAAAAAAACTAAGAGCAAAAATTAGGTTAAAATTTTATAAAATTGCATAAATTTATTGCAACTATTATATGATTATTTTTCTCATTCTCTCTTTGCAAATTAATTTTTTTTTTCTATTAATTTAATTTTTTTTTTTTTTTTTAACTTAAAATTTTATTCATTCCCTTTTCTTTGCTAATGCAAAAATGTGCAATGCTCAAATGGTTAAATCAATAATCCACCAAATTATCTCGAAATAACCAAATTATATATATAGTCAACCTCATCCTCCCTTCTAAGCCAGATGGAGAGGCGCATTTATCTCATTTCAATAGCGCACATCAATTTCCTGCGTCACAATGAAGCTTCCCATTTCAATGTTAGTAATTATATATTTGGCTTATCATTCAGTTCGTATAGCTTTAACAAAGTTATTTCAAGCATATCAAAAATGTATGTATGCTATTTAAATGACATATTTTAGAAAGCCACTTTCCGTTTAAAAGCCACTTTCCGCCTTTTTTTTATGCGCTGTTAAATCACTATTATTTAGTAAGATAAATTTCTTGGCCCTTTTTTTTTAAAAAAAGTTATAAGTTAAACCAGCAAAAAAAAAATGAGTAAGTAATAAGTATTTATCTTACTTATGTATATGTCACAATACTAAAGTAATGTCAATAAATAATGTAATATATTTAATTGAATATTTGATAATAGAAGAAAATGAATTGAACAAATGATAACAGAAATTTGAATTCATAATTTTTATATTTTAAAAAAAAAGTGTGAATAAGCAAAACAGGAATGGAACAATTATTTCATATTTTAAAACTGAATTGAATATATTTTACTGAAAGAGGAAATATGAAAAATAAATTATGTCTTTAAGGTTAGCGAAATTATTTAAATAAATAAAACCTATTTAAAATAAACATAAAAGAAAAAAACGGATATGTTATTAATTAATTTATTGTTGATTGTGAAAATTTACCAGTAAAAAAAAAAAGAAAAAAGGATTCATTAGATTTAAGTAATTAGCGATTTGAAAAGATATAAAAATCAAAAAAAAAAAAAAAACTAGCAACATAATAAGAAAATGATTAATTTAATCTCATCCAATATTCATTTCATTTTTTTTTTTGCATATTAATTTCAAATTTTGTAAACAAAAACAATTTAAGATAATAGTTTCAATCAGAGGAAATTATTTCTTATTTCTTATTTAAGATATATTTAAAGTATTAATCATTTTCAGTCTCAAATAATCAAATTTTTAATTATTCCATAAATTTTTTTTATACTGTCCCATATTTACAAACACATTTAAATTAGTCAATATGAATTATTTAATTGCTTTTAGTATTGTCACATCCTTTTTTTTTTTATTCTAACAATAACAAAAATAATTTTATACCAATATATCACATTGAAATGTATACTTACATGTATGTGTGTATGTGTGTACATGTATGTATGTATGTGTGTATGTGTGTACATGTATGTATGTATGTGTGTATGTGAATTAATTCTTTTAAAAAAATCAATGCTTAAATAAGTTTGAAATTCATAAATAATTTAATAAACCTGAAGGCAAATGAGTAAGTTGATTATCTCGCACATTGAGCACTCGTAGCGATTTTAGCAAGGCGATATCAGCCGGTAAACTTTTTAACTTATTGCAACTTGCATCCTGCAAATATTCTTTTATCAAAAAATTAACCAGCATCGAATTAATAACAATCATTTAAAAGAAACTTTTAATTTTAGCTATGAAATTTTGTTATTGGGATAAATATCCAAAAAATAATACATTAACCATAAGCAATAATAATATTTTACTTCTAAATTTGTTATTTTTCAATTTCAAATTTTCATATTTATTCTACTTAATCAAGAAAAGAATAGATTATAAGAGAGAATGTATTGATTGATAGTTTAATGATATTTAAAAAATAATTTTAAATTAAGATTACTCTATAAAATTGCTGCATAACAAAAATTAAAATATTCGGAAAGATTAAAATTACCATACATACCAATTCACGTAAGGAATTCGAAAGTTGACGTATTTCTCGTGGAATATACTCCAATCGATTACCCGTTAATAGCAGAATTTGTAGAGGCATAGAAAATAAAGCCGATGGGATGTTCATCAATTGATTACCACTATAAATGAGCAAAGAATTCTTAATTTAATTGAGAGAAAAGGATAAAATTTCAAATTTATGCTTTTTTGTAAAGCGAAAAAAAAAACTGAAATCTTATAGCTGTACAAATCAGCGGCATAAAGCTATCACTACAATTACTATTAGTATTTATTATCATTATTATTATTAACAGTATTATTATTATTAACTACTACTAGTAATAATCATTACTATTATTATCATTATTTATCATTATAATTGATAATATTATTGTCAATATTGCTAATTATTGTTGTTATTATCTATTATCATTACTGTGTTATTATTATTGTTTACTGTTATTATTATTTATTATTTATTATTATTATTGATAGAAAATAAACAACTGCTATTGGCAATAATTTGAAGTGTACGATTGTTGATTTAGTATAATCATTTGTAATAAATGAATGTTAAGGGAGAGATTGAAGTGAGCAAAAGATAAACTAAAATTTAACTTTAGCATTTGCATCAATCATAGGATGATGAGTGATAGTGATAGGATAACACAATAATAAGAAACAAAAATATTTATAAATGTCAATCATACTTTGAAAATTTTTATTTCTTAATTTTTAAATTATTTAAGTAATTGAATAATAATCGAACTTTTATTCTGTTTAAATTTTGTTTTTTTTTTCTCGATTTTTGAATGGTTTTTATTTTTTTTTTTTTAAAATATAATAAAGAAAATAATAAGAAGTAAAAATTTTTATAAAATAAAAAATTTTAAAAGTTAGCAGATAATAGTAATTTGCCATGCTGCTAAAATTACCATACTGTAGCTAATTCTTCTTTTTCCGGAAACATTTAACAATTGAGAAAAATAGCTTTTTGGATATATATATCATAAAATATATTTAAAAAAAAAGAGAATATATGGAAGGAAAGAGAGAGAGAGAGAGAGACTACTGTCAAAGATAAGCGATTGACTATGATTTCTATAAAAAATGAGAAATATCTAGCTATTAAAATAAGCAATTAGCACTTTTTTTTTTCATTTTCAGTATGAAATAGGAAAAAAATTTTATAACTTAAATTGAGATAAGTAAGCGATTACCTTAAGTCAAGATAAGTAAGCGATTACCTTAAATTGAGATAAGTAAGCGATTACCTTAAATTGAGATAAGTAAGCGATTACCTTAAGTCAAGGTAAGTAAGCGATTACCTTAAATCGAGATAAGTAAGCGATTGAAGTAATTGTACAGCCGAAGGGATCGAACGTAAACCCGTATTACGAATCCGTAACGTTTCCATCGAACACATCTCGCAGATGCATAATGGTAGATGTACGAAACGATTATCACTGAGATCTGTAATAGAATTGCGATGTCATTTGTTTCCGATAAAATTAATTCAGAAACGTTTTTCCGGAGATATTAGATTCTAATAAATTTCTAATTATTCTAAAAATGAAGTTGGTATAACCAAACTAATAATCACATAATATATTAAAAATTTTAATTTTTTTGTTTTAATTTAAACCAATTAAAATTTTAATAATAATATGGTAGTAATGAATGGCAATTACTAATTAATAATTAATAATAATTATAATGATAATAAATGGCAACATCAATGATAATAATAATAAATAACAAAGGTTGAATTAAAAAAAAAAAAGTCTAAGGAATATGGATAATTATAGAATAAAGATCGAAGAATGAGGTTTAATGAATAAAGATTAAAAAAAGGGCAGAGGTCAAACATTAAAGAATAATGAACAAAGATTAAAGACTAACAAACATAGATTAAAGAACGAAAACCTGAAAAGAAATTCATGAAACTTTGTTTTAGTAAAGTGAAGCAAATTGATGTGTGATAAAATCAGTGTTCGTTTATAAAATGTACCATTAAAAAGAAGAAAAAAAGAAAATAATAATTTCAAATATATTTAAAATATTTTTCCTCAATGTAAGATTAATAAATTAAACTATTACATTTATTAAAACCAAATATTTGTGTTTTTTTTTTATTTTTTTATTTTTCCTGCTTTAAGCATTTTTTTCATTTCTGTTTCTTTCATTTTTTATTCTGTTAATCTTACTTTTTTGTTTCCCTCATATTTCATTCATTTCCTATATAATTAGAAAATATGAAAAAGAAAAGAAAAAAAATTTTAGGGAAAGTACAAACAGCTGCAGCTGCAAATTAATTTACATAAAGGAAATATTATAGAATTGATTTTTTTTTCTTTTTATTTTCAACAGCAAAAAATGAAAAACATAAGATATTTAAAATGAATTCTATTTAAGTTAGTTATTTATTCAAATTTCATTTTCAATTAATATATGAATTCATTTATAACCAATTTCTCTTTTCACTTTTATTATGAATAAACATTTCATAAATTATGGAAAGATGAAAAAGCAGAACGGAAAGTTTCTCTGTTTTTTTTTTTTCTGGATTTAATAATATATATAATATCGTATAACATAAAATCGAATAAAGAAGGTATAAAATTTGATTAAAATACCATATTATAGTGAATATAATTTAGTAAGACTAGAATCTAAATAATAATAATAATAATAATAATAGTAATAATAATAATAATAATAATAATAATAATAATAATAATAATAATAATAATAATAATAATAATAATAATAGAAATTCTCAATTTTATTTTGCAAAGAAATTTCAATGAATGACCGAAATTTTTTAAATGAAGAGGAAAATTAATTTTTACATTGAAATTTAATCATGCGGAAGCAAAAATTTTAAGAATTTATTGAAATGGAAAATTAATGCAAAGTTCCTAACATACCAGCAGAAATAATATCAGATATTTCATATTTGATAGCAAGATGTGCCGGAAATTCTTTCAATTTACGACCAGCTAATAACAATACACCGCTTAATTCTGCTTCTTCAAACATTTTATCCACCGATCGAGTTAACAACTAAATTCAAAGAAAATTGGGGAAAAAATCTTCTTTGGAAGTAATTGCATTAGTTATTATTGACCTTAAAAAATTAGCAAAAATTTCAAAATCAATCATAAAAATGTCATTTTAATAGCATTTTTTTTGTCTTTCTTTTTTTGGAAAAAATACTAATTGAATATTTTTAAAACCAAAAAAAAAAAAGTTTAGAGGTCATTTGAATCGTCCGCAACGGATGAATTCTATTGAAAGGTATTTGTCTATTACAAGCGAAAGAAAAAAAATGCCAAAAATTTTATTAAATTTATTGCTAAAAAATATTTGATAAAAAAAATAATTACCTGCTGCTGATATGATGTCGATGGTATAGAAGTTGGTGGAATTATTGGAGCAGTTGTGGCCGTTACGCCACCACCGCGACGTTTGCGCCACGTAGATGCCGTTTCGAGTTATTAACTGAAGAGAAAGTGCTTAAATTAATTATGAGCGCAAAATGTATTAGAAATTTAAGAAAACAAATTGAACATATCGCACTTATTTTCTTCAATATTAAATTGATTCAATTTAAATGAAATCATAAAGAACATCCGCCCTGATAGATTAATTAATCAGTTAGTTAATTCATCTAATTAGTGATTAGTTACTTATCAATCTAATTAATTGACAAATTAACTTATGTTTCGAGAAAACAGCACTTTTCTTATTGGTTTGCAAAAAAAAAAAGTATTTCTGAAAATTTTTGAAGCAATCAGAAAGAAAGGGAAGGATAGAAGATTGAAAATTTGATGAGTCATACAAATCATTTTTCTTCTAAGTTTCAATCTGTTATCTAATTTGAAGGCAGCTAATGAAAAGCTGCCCATTACACGATGAGTCATCACCGCTTTTTAAATTTTTTCCTGATATAAACGAAAGATAAATTTAATTTTTCCAAACATTCAACATTTAATTTACATAACTTCTTTGAATATATTCCAAAATTGATTGTAACAATTTGGGTAAGTTTAATTAGCAACAATAATTTAATTTTATTAAAATCATGGAATTATGTTTATTTGTAATTGATATCGGTGGGAAATTCTATGCATTGGTAGTAATATTAAAGTGGTAGGATAGTTTATAAAATGAGCATATGAAAATATATGAAAATCTAATTAGCAGTATAAAATCCTATTTATACCAAATATTTATATAAGTTTTCATCCTTTTGAATGGAATAAATAAGAGAAAAAAAAATTGGAAATGAATGAATTAAATTCTTATTCGGTACATTTACTGAATAACTACTGCTGCTGTTAATCAATTTTTAATTCCGATAACAAATTTTGTTTTTCCGTAGTTTGAATTGAATTGATAAACAGCATATCATTAACGCTTAATTATTAAATTTGAGGGAATGAAAATAATAAAATTTATAAAATAAATTGAAATGGCAGTATATAATCGGAAAGAAAATGAATAGGACAAGAACGGAATTTAAAAGAGGGAAGAAAGAGGTGGAGATAAGAGAGAGAGAGAGGGAGGGAGGGAGAGAGGGAGGGAGAGAGAAATGGAACAGGAGGCAGTAGTAATGTAAATTAGTAGTAATTAATGATTAATGTATGACAATTCATGAATACATTTAGTACAAATTCAACTTTTCACATATCTTTGCTTTTAATTTATCCATTATAAACATTTCTATAATTTTAGTAAATGAGAGATTGAGTGAAATAATTGAAACAGTAGCATAAATTAATTAAATGAAAAAAAATGCAAAAATTCATTATTATAGCATTTCAATTTGTTTTAATTCGAAATTTATTCAAAATGATTATTAGGAAAAAAAAGGTTAAATTTCTTGAGTTAATTATAATTTTGAACTTTTTTTTTAAAACTTTTCAAATGTAATAAATTAAAATAAAATAAAAAGAAAAAAAAAACTGTGTAAAGAATTTTGAAGTTTTGTAGTAAAGTGATGAGAAATCATTTGTCAGTTGAAAGTTTCCGATGTACTTTTAACGCGATGAACAAATCTTTTCTTTTGTCAATTCATTTTACAAATTTGTAAAATTGGAGCAGAGTGGAGCAGTTGGTAAAGTCCATTAACAAATGATTAAAAAGAGTGAGAATAAGATCGATATAATTAAATTGTAAAATTTGCAAAGTCTAATAAATAATGAAATGGTAAATGATAGTATCCGACCAAAGCTTACATTTTACTCCTAAATTAACCAAATTATCACATTTTTCCCATTAAAAGCATAAAAAATTTTACTTCCAATTCTACAATAAAAAAAAATAGAATATAAATTCCAAGTTTTATAAAGCATAAAATTAATTTTTATTCCAAGAAAAAAAAAAGTTATTTTTGTTCCTTATTCCATTTCTTTTTTTTTTTTATTTGATTATTGAAATATAAAAATCCAGAAATCGTATTTATATCTGATTGATTAATAATATTTTTTTTTTCGTATTTGGTAATTTGTTATAAATCGATGAATTTGCACTTAAAGGAAAATATTCAAAGTACAATGATGTAGAAAACAATTTTTTTTAATCCATCATTATGTATTTGAAATAATTAATAACTATTTTTTTTTTTTTAGAATAATTTAACAAATATATTTATCATACTAATTTCAATATTAATTTCACACTGAAAATAGCATATAATGGAAATTTTCATAAACTAATTTCAACCATTGCTAATTTTCAATTAACATTCAAAATAAAATATTGAAAGTTGACAAACAATCGAAATATTCATTGCATAAATTAAATGAAGTGAAAATATTGGAAAATTTTACAATGCAATAATTTTTATCTATTAATAAAATTTTTTAAAATAAATACAATTTTATTTAATGAAATATAATTCGAAAAAATAAAATTAATCAAAAAAAAAAGTTTATTTTTAGATAAAATCAACAACAAAACAAAATGTTTTCTAATGTGATAAAATAGACATTCGAAAAAGAAATAATTAAACTCATTAATAACAATAGTAATAGTAATAAAACAAATATTATGGAATGTAAATAATATGTGAAAATATTTTTTCCATTTTAAAATTATTTTAAAAAAAAAGGAAAAAAATATACAATGAAAATATTCAATTGCATATTTCTTAGCATTTATTTCACACTTTAATTCAGATAATTTCACGCTTAAGTTGAGATAATTTTACGTTTAGTTGGAAGAATTTTACAGTATATGCATGCAATTTATAAATGCGTTATTTAGCTTTTTAAAAAAGACACTGAAAATATTGTAGTGTATATATAATCAAAGTTTTACGTAACTGATATGCGTCATATACGTTAAAAAAAAGTGTACGAAAATGACGTTGGCTATTTAACTGAAGCTTTTTTGGGTTTTTTAAAAAATTTTTTTGCTTTTACAAAATTTATCAGAAAATAATGAATGAATTATTTATTACTATCTACTTGTTTTTTTAAAAAAATTTATCAGAAAATAATGAATGAATTATTTATTACTATCTACTTGTTTTTTTAAAAAAATTTATCAGAAAATAATGAATGAATTATTTATTACTATCTACTACTGGAATAAATATTAATCTTTACCATTAATTTACACATCATTTCATGATTATTTACATAATTTCAATACTCAAAAAAAATAAAAAAGTTTATGATTTGTGCTAATTTTTGAAAAGACATAAGATGAAAATATTTCAATTAGCAAACGAGAAAAAAAAAATGAAAATATTAAATGACATCATCCAGATTAAATCAATAATTTCAATAAATTATAAAGAAAAGAGAAATGAGGCTAATATCTCAATTTTCTGCAAAAAAAAAAAGGAATCAAAGATTCGTTCAATTGAAAGAGGAGCATTGGAAACTGATAGAGGCAATCTTGTATTCAAACATATGTGTTTCTGTCTGTCTGTATGTATGTATGTGTGTGTCTGTGACATTTAAAATCTGTGACACACCTATGGCGACATATGGTGACACATATTAATTAAATATTTGAAAATGGAGGGAAAGAGACTGAACTGAAATGAATAATAAATTCTTCCTGATTTTGTAATTCTTCTCTATTACTTTTATCAAATTGAAATAAAAAATAAAACTTGTAATAGTAATAATGAATTAAATCTAATAATAATTATACTAAAAGCAAAAGAATTTAATAATAATTATAATAAATGGTAAAGACAATAATGATAATAACGATAATAAAATAAACAAAAAATAATTATGCTAAGAGCACAATAATTAAATCAAGAAATTATGAATCAAAAAATTAATAATTAATTCTATTTCAATAATTTCAGAGACGAAGATTTTATTATTTAGTTAAACAAAATTCAAAAAAAGGGAGAGTTTTAATATAGTGAAGGAAAATAAAAATGGTAGTACTAATTACAATGACACAAAGAAAAATAAAAGAAACTAATTGTCAATGACACGAAGAACTTTTTTAAATGTATTGCATTACTTCCAAAATTTGCATATATGTGTATGTGTGTATGTGTATGTGTGTGGTGGGTGTGTGTGAGTATGTGTGCACAGTATGCTACGTTATCATAAAAGAAAAAGTTAAATATAGGCGATAAAGCTTAAGTAAACAAATTAGCCAACGGTATGAATTGAAGTGGACAAGAGAGAAAATGGGTGACAATGACTTTTGTATATGTGTAAATATCAAATTAGAAATTTGATTTGAATGACATTTCTGAGTTAACATTTTGTGTAATTAGTAACGAATTCTTGACGAGAAATTTGATTAAAAGAAAAAAAAAATCGGTTAATGCAATATAATGAACAAATTTTTAAAAATTGTTGTTGAAAAATGCAGAAAAAAAAAGAGAGAGAAAACGAAAGATCAAAAAGTATTTAATTCAATTTTGAAATAATAGCACAAATAAGCACAAAGTGATAAAATTACCATTGATAATTTTGTAGTTCAAGTTATAAAAATTTTGCAATTATTGGAAAAGATTCAGATTTAGACAATTTATTAAATTCTTGACAAATCAT